TGGTCAGGCCGTTCCTGCCGGCTCGGCTCGGCGCAGCTCCGCACTCCTCCCCGCTCGGTGCCTCCGGCTGGTATTTCTGGAACAAGCAGCGGGACTGCCCGAGCTCAGCGGGAGGGACGCGAAAAAGTTGCATGTCAGATCTGTCAGGCTGCGGAGCGGAGCAGTGCCCGCCCGGGCAGCTCCCGCCGCGGGTCGCGGTGTGGCCGCTCAGGTCACCTCGCGTTACTCCTCGTGGCTCTGGACTGGCCTCATGTCATCTGTTGGCGGCAGAGAGAGGGTCTGGTTTCTTTCGGGCCGTATCGAACAGCTTTAGCTGTTGTAGTGCCTTTTTCCTTCAGCTATCCATGTCTGTACACTCTCCGAGCCCTGACCAACTAAATCATGATTCCTCAAATAGTCTGCATTACTGCCGTCCTTGCACCCGCAGAGGCACATTCTCTGCAGAAAAAAAGGGTGGTGATCTTGGGGGAAAAAGTGCAATCAGTCTTAATTCTTCATTTCCTGGCTTAGTTAAAATATTTTTTCATTATATGTGCAGTTTTCTAGCTACCCCTTTTAAGCAATTTGAAAAAAAATGCAAAATCCATTGCACTGAAACCCATGTGGGTCATAAAGCTTCGGAGCTTGTAGCTCCACTGCAGATACTCAGCACTTGTGCTAATGGAGTGATTGATAACCATAGGAGTTTGTCATTCTTTAGACCAGCACTAGAAGACCTTTTCTGACAGTCAGGAAACTCAGTCAAGGGGTTCAGATTTCCTATACTTCCTTCCAGGTTCTAGAGGGGTTTGTGTTTGTGTAGACACAGATTTCTGCCTCTCTTCCCCAAGTGTGAGTCCAGCTACATAAGCATCTCCAGCTTTTTAAGTCACTTCTGGTGTTGCCTCCCAATTCATTAGGTCTTGCTTATCCATTAGCACTTTACACTTCTCATCCTAGCTTTCTCATCTCCAAACTTTCTCAGTTTGTCCCAACTCTCATTGCTGCTCACTTTTTTTTCATTCTCTCACTTTTTTCTCATCCACTTTCATCCACCTTATCCACTTTTCAAAAGTAATGACTTTTCACTGTCATTACTTGGCCAGCCAACACCATT